CTCCCATGGTGGCGGAGAAGCCCTGGAAGACATCCAGAGGCAGATCCGCGGCCTAAGGACTGGAAGGGGGAGGCAGGGAAAGCGCCCAATTTGAATTGGGTGCTTTTCCCGCCTCCCTCTTCTGGTCCGTAGGTCGATTCTCCAGCCGCAAGTCGAAGTAAAATTTGCGGCTGGAGAAGTATGGATCTCGAAAAGTTCATAAGTGGAGCTGACTGTAAGTCGAGACTCCACTGTATGTGATTACACATGGAAAAAACAGATACATGTAAAGAACTTGTTTTCAGGCAGAGGGTTAAAGAACTATTCCTAATTATTGCTACCATCATTGTGGTCTTTTGAGCAGAATAGCAAACTAGGAAGGAGATCTAGATTTATCTCTGCTACTAGCGACATTGACTAGATCCCATATGAGCAGTGACTTTGAGGCTAATCCAGTGGGTAGAAAATGTAGATCTCCATATGTTTTTGGATTCCAAGTTCCACAAGCTCTGATCATTGTCTCTACTGGCTAAGGAACAGGCCATGTTGACTAGAAGGGAATGCACATAGTGCTGAGAAAGACTAGGATAAAATTGAAGTAAAAAATATTTCTTTAATAACTGCTGCATCTGAAACATTTAAATGACATACAGTTTTTTTACAGCAGGTATATTTACCAGCTTGCGGAAAATGCTTTGTGATGGAGCTTGACATTGAAGTTTTTCACAGTGCACCAAACAACTGAGAATCTCTTACATTGGCACATTCTTTTGTGGCATATTTGCACCTGCACATATTCATCAATTGTTCTAGTAAACGCATAAAGCACTAAGATAATAACTGTGTTTCCCTGAAAATAAGACAGGGTCTTATATTATTTTTTGCTCCAAAAAACGCATTATGGCTTATTTTCAGGGAATTTTTTTTTTCCTATACAACAATCTACATTTTTTCCAAATACAGTCATGTCATAATCTTGTGGTGACTGCACAATGGTGGAGGGCAGGGTTTCACTTAACTGGGGCTTATTTTTGGGGTAAGGCTTATATTACGAGCATCCTGAAAAAATCGAACTAGGGCTTATTTTCAGGTTAGGTCTTATTTTCGGGGAAACAGGGTAGCAAAACACTGCTTCCTCCCAGCTGCTGTCCAGCAGATTCAGCACTGCCAATACTGGCTGTATGAAATCCTATGAGTCTCAAAGTAAAAGTTCTAAGCAACTGTCAAAGACCATTTCTGTCTCTTTGGGATGACACCCGGTCTGTGGCTTTTGATCTGTGTGATTTCTACTTAATTGAAAGGGGTTTTCCCTCTTTAGCATGCTCATGGGCATCCTGATTTGTGACATGAAGTCAAAGATGGTTCAGCTGAGGAATAGATTGAGATAAAATTGCTTATAGTTCTGCAACAAGGGTACATTTCTCTAGTGTCTTGCACCATCTCTGGTAGATGAAAGATTTGATGGCAGTGGGTCATGAAGCATAATGTCCTAAATACCCTTCCCTTTTGCTATAATTTCAGTTGCCTTCTATGCCTTGAATAGCATCTTTGCTATTATTAGTGGTATAATAAATTATGTTTGTTGATTATTGGAACCAGTGAAACATGTGAGGTTGCATAAATCATCTGGAAACCTTTTCTTGTGCAGAATAAAATCTTGCAGTTTGAAAAAAGTGTAGATTTTTACAGCCATGGACGGTAATGTTGAGCAACTATTGAGGAACTGTGATCAACATACAGTTTTGCAATCTGATTGTGAATTTGTTTTGCCAAGAGCACAAGAATTTTTTTTCTTGAGCAAGAGCTGAAGGGAATTTGAGCCAAATTGTTTCATTCAGTATATACAAGCTTGCATTCCAAAAGAGTCTACTCCTTCTCTCCCTCCCCCCCAATCAACATTGTCTTTTAATGATTTTTATTTTATTTTGAGATGTTTGGGTTACTTGCCTCACTGTTGTATTAGCAGAATTTTTCTTCCCTGTCTTGTACAAAAAAAGGTAATATGTGAAGGGAATTTGAGCCAAATTGTTTCATTCAGTATATACAAGCTTGCATTCCAAAAGAGTCTACTCCTTCTCTCCCTCCCCCCCAATCAACATTGTCTTTTAATGATTTTTATTTTATTTTGAGATGTTTGGGTTACTTGCCTCACTGTTGTATTAGCAGAATTTTTCTTCCCTGTCTTGTACAAAAAAAGGTAATATGTGAATTTATGGTAGAGATGACTAGTATTCTGCACCAAGCTTCTCTGTCCTTTCAGAGTACCAAGAACAGTTATACACTTGATGCAAAAGACAGACTTAATAAGCATAGGGATCAGTGACTGAACTGTTGTGAATTTGTTTTGCCAAGAGCACAAGATTTTTTTTTCTTGAACAAGAGCTGAAGGGAATTTGTGCCACCGGAGCCAAATTGTTTCATTCAGTATATTCAAGCTTGCATTCCAAAAGAGTCTATTCCTTCTCTCCCCCCAATCAATATTGTCTTTTAATGATTTTTATTTTATTTTGAGACGTTTGGGTTACTTGCCTCACTGTTGTATCAGCAGAATTTTTCTTCCGTGTCTTGTACAAAAAATGGTAATATGTGAATTTATGGTAGAGATGACTAGTATTCTGCACCAAGCTTCTCTGTCCTTTCAGAGTACCGAGAACAGTTATACACTTGATGCAAAAGACAGACTTAGTAAGCATAGGGATCAGTGACTGAACTGCTTGTATATACAGGCGCCCATTCCATTCATGGTCAAGATGACACAAGGCTTTTACAAGAGCCATAAAATACATCAAAGATATTTCAGATCTGTCCCTGAATCCTTCAGTGAACTCTTCATATTGCCCTTTAAATCTGCATTAATTGTTGGAGCAAAATTAAGCATTGTGTGTGTTTGTATGTGTGTGGATTACAGTACTTTTCTGAATTCTGTGTTTGTGTTTTTCTGTAACACCTTCCATATCTTTAGTGTGATGATTTCAGCAATGATTAATTGCCTTTCATTGAATAGGCGTTGTACCTTCTATTTGTGACAGAACGTATGGCTTTAATTCCAAATATTTTACAAGTAGGGGAAGCATTCCAATCCAGTTTACTTACAAACTGTGCTGCAAAGTGGAAATGGTGTTTTTGGTTTTGTTTTTTTTTTGGGTTTTTTTTTTGTTTTGTTTTTTTGGTAAAATAAAGAGCCGAGGTCTGCAGAGGTGTTAAGTAAAATAATTCTAAAACAATATCTAGCTTAGAAAGCATTATATTTTTATTTTTATTTAACTTTCTTTTTGTGTAAATGTTGCATCTGTTTTCTATAAGCCAATATTGTGCCTGTAGAATTGTGTTATTATAACGTACAGCTGTGTAGTAACTTTATAGTATCCAATGAAATACTGTGTATTTTCTTCTTTTTTAGATTGTCCCATTTTTTTTCTGCAATGATTTTTGTGTTAAGAGAAAAGGCCTTTGTGTGTAATGAGACTTCAGTGTCAGCTACCAGGATACTCGGGTCCTATAAGATTCCAGCAAATTTCAGTAGTTGGGGAATGCGTTCTCTCTCCAGGAAGAGAGCAAGAGAATTGGAAGAAATCTTAGAGGGAGAAAGGGATCTATTCCTTCCCCCCACACACACACACAAGTTTTAGGGATGTAGTACATCAGCAGCAGTCCTTTTGGGGGCAGAGGAAGTAGCAGCTGCCATTTGGTTATGGTGAACAATGAAGATCTTAGACATTACCTGGGGAGAAGCTTGTTGAACAATACAAGGCCTTCCAGCTTTCCGAGATTTTCTGTGTTGTAGTATGTGACACATTCTCACTGCACTTATTCTGCCTCCAGGAATAAGCTTACAAATTTTCCTATTTTCTCTCATTACTATTACAGGCCATCCTCACTTTCCATCCAACAACTCAAGGCAGTTTTGTACCTCTCCTAAATTCTTCTAATCTCTCTGTCACCATTCAATTGTTGTTGTTTTACAGGAGGAGGGTCTTCCTTCCATCTATTGGGTTATGCAGGATTTAGTTCATGACAAATCACTACCCTAATCCAAACTGTACGTCTTAGGAAAGATGTGAGAGCAATACTACAGACCTCTTGCATCTGTGCAAATTGTGCAGCTCTTCCAGTCTTGAACAACATATTCAATTTTTTTTTGCTGTGTATTGAAAGAGGGTTGAAGTGGGAGGAAAATGCAAAGTGATTATTGCTCAATAGCAGTGTTACACTCTCTTAATAGGAGGTGATTGAAGGGTAGCAGTCTGAAGCAGAAGCCTAGGGTGGAAGAACCTTTTCAAAATAGGGCAAATGCTTATTGAGTATTGCAAAGGCAAATAAGCTTCTTTCATTTATAAATTGTTAAATGATTATACAAATTAGGGCCCTTGGGTTGTTAAGCAGCAACCCCTGTTTTCTTCACCATAGGCTGTGCCAACTGGTGGGAATTGCAGTCCAATCTGTACCTGCTATAAAATACAAATGTAAATCCTGTAACTTCATAAAAAAACAAGTGTTTTCTTTTCCTAGCACTGGTTGGATCTTTCAAAACCCATTAAGAAGCAAATAAAAAGTAAGTATGACAAACTTTAATTTCAACTTCTTCCTTTCCAAGCACAGGTTCAAATTGTTCAATGAATGCCACATTTATAAATGTAAGATGTTTTTAAATTGGTTTTTTTTAAAAAAAAAAAAATTGAGGGTGGTCTTTGTGTGTAATAGAGCCCATTTCTTTAACAACTTTGATCTGTCTAAGGGTAGGCAATGTAATTCAGTGTTCTTAGTCTCTTTCTGGGAGCGCCAGATAAGAAAAGAATTGTTGAAATGAAGCACATATAAATTTGACCATTACCTTGCTATAAAGCCACCAGGAGTTCTGTGTTATGTTAATTTGTACAACTTGTTGAGTTGAGTTGAGTTTATTGTATGGACATAGACCTGAAAATACAAGGATAAAAACATTAGATAAAATATACAAAATAAGTAAGATATCAGAAGATAACAGGAATATAAAACTTGAATCATGCAGCTCTCTTAACACAACACTTGTCGGATTCTTAAAACTGAGAATAAAAACTTCTTTTCTGCTCTGGATGGAAAACGGTGTGCAGGTTTATTTGTATAAATACAATTGTATGCCAAAGCAAGATTGAGCTAAATTAAGATTTATATGGTCAGCTGCTGCCTTTAAAAAAATCTTTTTAAAAATCCCTTGTGCTCCTTTGGTATGTGGTAAATCTTAAAAGCGAGAATGCATACTTCACTGATGACATTTAATTATTCTGTGTTAAGTGGCCATGAGTGTTTATTTTTGCTTTAGAATGTAGAAAGTCCCTTGCTGAATCATACTGATGTCCACCTCATCTAACATTCATGACAAAATTTCCTGGGATAGCAGTAAAACAGTCTTTTATGGCTAGACTGGAGTCTCCTTTCATCCTACTGTGACTCTTAATGCTGACTCCCCAAAGTAGGTCAGCTGTGTCTCTTCCTTTTCTTCCTCCTCCTCCTATTTTTGTTTTCAAATAGATTATAGGCCAGCAACCCATACATTCAGATTCATACATTCTCCTTCACTCTTCCTTCCTTTGCTTTATGGTCTCAGGCTGCCTTCAGCAGCAGCTTTTTGTTAAGCCTTCTAGTGACTTAGGTCTATTGAGCTGCCCCTTCCTCCCCTCCACAAACCCTTTCTTTGGGGAGAAAGGGGCTATGATATTGACAGCCCAGCTCACTTCATGTACTGGTGGGGCGCATAGCCTCTCACCCCCAAGGCCTGGACATCCGACATGAATGACACTGTGTATAGATGCATACATGCTCGTACACTTGATGTCATTCATACTGGCAACTACATGGGAGCAGGCATAGACCCAGATTTGGGGGGTGGGATGCCTTAGCATCTAAGGATGGTTTAGAGAGGCAGTGCCTATCTCCTGTTGCAGTGAGATCATCTCTGGTCCCTGAAAAAGCAGGGAGCTAAAGCCTACTCTCGCCATGAGCCTTTTGTCAATCATTGGCTGGCTCTGCTTCACCCTAAGCATTATGGAAGCCGCTGTCTTGGCTGATTTCCAATTGCTTCAGGGAGGGGGGAGGTGTCTTCAGCGTTCCCCTCCCCATGGTTCCAATCAGGTATCCAAGGAGTGGGCCATAGGATCAGGGACCTTGGGAGGCTGCACAAACAGTTTTGGGATGATGGTTGTTGCCTGAGGGTTGTGCACCCTTATTGTACAGGAACTGGACTGGAGGAAAAGACATTTGGGCCCTGGACCATGTGGGGCAGAGCAGTTGGGAGAACAATTCTGCCTCTCCCCATCTTTGTGCTTGTTTTAATATTAACACCACACACAACAGACATGGCCAAGGCAGTGCGTGATGAAACAGATTTGGCTGGCAAGGCTAGATCTGATTTGGTTCCCAGCTTTTTCTTCACAACCAGCTCTGCCATGGTGTCTTCAGCAGTTCTTGACTGTGACATCATGAGTTGTCTGTGACATCATCCTCAGCCTTGCTCATACCAGAAGTTTAAACACTGACACAAAACCTCTTAGTGCCTTATAATATGGGTTGTATTCTGAAAGATTGCTGCATGGCTTCTTACTTTAACTTCGTAAATATCTGTTCATATAGGTGAGCCACCATATATGTTTCACTTTAGAATCAAATACTATTCGTCAGAACCAAACAACCTTCATGAGGAATTCACAAGGTAGGAAGTAATCTGAATTAACAACCCTAACATCAGAAATGGGATGGGGCAAAGAGTAAAAGTTGGGCTTTGCTTTTCTGCAGTTCTTTAACAGAGCAGTGTACAGCTTTTGGTCAAAGAGATGTTACATTGATTACTATGAACTTGTCACTCTTGTTTGGTATTTTAGCATTCTTAGCAAAGCTGATAACTGTAATTAAACTCCAGGGATCCTGTTTATGGAATGACAGTTCCTCTGTTAAAGTGATTATATCTTCAAAACATCAGAGGCTGACTTTCTTCCGACAAAGGTTAAGAGAGCCTGCCTACTTGGCTCATTTCTCTGGCTTAACTGAGACATCAGATTCAGTTGTCTTTAAACATTTGAGGGCATCAGGTCAGCCAAGCACTCCCTTCTTATATCACCAGCTAAGAAGGGCAACTTTTAGATTCCAATTAATTGTTTATATCTGACAGCCAGTATTGCTATACTTGATTTTGGAAAAAATGCTGAGAAGCAGTGATGAGAAGAAACCAGGGTTGAGAAAAATCAATGATTTTTTTAAAATCACCATTTAAATTTTAAAAATGATTTTTTTTTTGTTTTAAATTGTCAAAGAATATATTTTTTGTGTTTAAGTCATTATTTAAATTGTGATTTCAATCAATTTGTTTTAAATCAAATCCATCCTGAAAGAAACTAATTCAAGGCAACTGCTATTTGGGTTTCTTACAAAATAATGTCGTAATTCTATCTGTGATGGAGCTACAGTAGTGTGATGTAGTGGATAGAGTGTGAACCAAAGTCTGGGTTTAGATCCCATCACAGCCATGTCAGCTCACTTGGGAGTAGCAATGGCAGACCTCTCCTTGAACATACCACATACTGCAACAATACTCTTAGGGCCTCTATGAATTGGAAGTGACCTAAGGGCACATAATAGCAGCTGTCTGTGATGCAACTGTCTTACATATTTCATATATGGATTTACTGTATTGCCTCTTGGGACAGAGTTTCCTAGGGCTGCTTCTGGAAGACAGACACAAGGTGGCTATATTGTCTTCCTGCACACCTTGAGTTTTTAGTGTAAGCTAGAGGCATAGGCCTGGTCTTGCCCGAGTTTTTTTAAAGTGAATTGATACTGGTTTTAAATTCTTTTGCTATACTTTTATATACATTACTTGTGACACTGGATTATGGTAATTAAATAGGGGGTTCAGGTCCCTTTTCATAGTTATATTGCTTTGGTTTGGCTTAGATACGCAGTTACATCTGCCTGGGAGAATAAAATTATCTGGATCGATTGGTTTTTAGTTTGCCATTTCTATGTTCCTGTGTTGTTTATGGGTTTTTTATTTGTTAGTTCTTTACTGACAAAAGCCTATCTAGATACAATTTAACATTTCAAAATATAAGTGAATTTTAGATTCTTCTCCTTTGATTGATTTATAGCAAGCACTGTTTGATAAAATATTGAGAGGATTTTGAAGGATGACCAATCTGTTGTTATTGTACCTATGCTGTTGCCTAGCAGAATGGATTGGGATTCTTAGGCCTCATATCCCTATCCCCAGCCTTCTATTCTACCTAACTTTGCTATGATTCATTCACTTGCATAAATAGCCACTAGCTGGTGAGCAGAGAACTGGAACAGTGAACAGCAGTGAACACTGGGCCAGTGGTAAATACATCTGCTTCCTTGCCTTCTCTCTGAGCAAGTGGATAATGTTCTGGGAGTGAGATTATATTATCTGGGAGAGAATATGAAAGAGCTTCTTTCCAAGAAATCTTTTATTACATTCTCACCTGAACAGGAAACCATTCTGATTCTCAATATTCTTTCCTATTAGTAACCTTGTATCTGAAATACAGGTTATGTATCAGGGCAATAAATATATATAAATGTATATATTGAAATGCCCCCACAAATCTATATATTTGATGCCTACAGAATGTTATAGATGTCTGTTATGGAGAGAAGAGAGTGTGGGATAATGGAGTGAAGAGCTAATCGGCCGGCTTGAGCATGTATTCATTTTTAATAGCCTGGAAGGAATAAGGTAGAGCCCACCAGATGCTTGTGGTAACACTCAAAATATGCCTTCCCTGAAATTCAGAAGGGAGGAAAATTAAATGACGTATTCCATTTCCCCACACTTCAGTCTCCCCCTGACCATGGTATAGCAATAAAGTTTCCAAATCTGATGTCTTTAATACTTGGTGGCACATCAGAGTAAGTTCTGTCACACTGAAATGTCAGTTTCCTCACACTGTAGTGTAACCAAATACAGCCTAGGGCTACATGGATACATCTCAAGTTCCCCTGACTGCCAGTGAGTTCTGTGGGCCTCTGAACTTCAGCATGATAGGCAGGTGTGTGTGAGAGTTAAACCTCCATCTCTTTCCAAGATACAACAGTCATCAGTGGGAGAGTAGCTTTTTTTAAACTCAGAGTCGGTTTCTTTGTATGCACCTTGCCTGTTATCTGATGGGAGGTTTATTGGCCAAATTAATTTTTTTAAGTGAGGCATTGCACCAAACTGTGGTGTTGCAGTTAAGACTACATCTTCTGAAATACAAAAATCTAACATACTTTATTTTTGACAATCAGGGAACACTTTATTTAATTTCATTTGTGTGTCAGTAATAGAATCCATATGCTCAGTATCTGGAAATAGTTCCTACGTATTAGTCCACAAGTGGTTAAAATATGTTACTTTTATGGAAAATGTTACATTAGTTGGCTTTGCTTATGGAGTGATGAATTTTACTTGTTGTTAATTAATAAATATTAATATTAGAATAATTTTATAATATAATAATTATTTGTTACCAGTGGTATTTTTATTACTTGTGTTTAAATACACAATGAATATTTTCATTTGTACATACAGTAATTAGCACATGCTATGTGCATGTGGAAGATTTTATGTACACTTTGCTCCCTGAATTAACATCATTTTATTGTTAAACAGATCTGAAAAGGTAAATTATATTCTTGGATAGTCAGCAAACCAAAGTTTCATATTCTGCCAGTCAGAACTGATTATTTATTTAGTATGTAACTTGCTTGGAATTTCACAAGGGATGCCTCCTCACTTCAAAACATCTCCCAGGAGCAAAGGTTTTGGACAGAAATGTTCTGTGGTATAAGCTAAAAATGCCTAGAAAGTCATGTTAGAATCAGATCAACTAATCTTGATTGATAAGCATACAAACACATCATTTTACCTCTGTAGATTCGATATGCATATTTTAGCCCAGGCAGAGAGGGGAAGAAATCTGTGTGCCAGGTTTTTGGTCTCTTTACAAAATATGAAAGCAAAGGGAATGTTTGTTACTGAAGATGAACAACTTATTCATTTTTCAGTGCATCCCTATTACACTCTGAAGGCTACTGCTGGTATAACAGGGGTGGTTAACTGCTGGCCAGAAATGGATTTGATTGATTTCCTGAGTAAACATATTACTGATAAAATTAACTTCTTGAGTAACGAGAGCAATAAGAAACCTGGAAGCGCAGGAGTTAATTCTGAGGACGTCCTGTCGCCCCAGGAAAATGCAAACAACCAGAAATTATGGGGCATGTGGATTTTGAGGCCAACTCTTTAATAGAAAAGTTTCTCAATAGAGAACTGTTGTATTGAGAAGTGCTTTTTGAATCCGTTCTAATAGTTCTGATAATAAAGGATGAGTTCATTTCTGAAGGCAAGAGAACTGTTGAGAAAATTGACGATTCTTCTCTTCTCATTTGCTAGGTACCTGTTTGTATTACAACTAAGGCAAGATATTCTTTCAGGAAAGTAAGTCTCATTTTCATTTGTATAATTGTTGAACCTGAATCTCATTTTCTGCTAGAAAGTGCTGAAAGCAAATTACATTCATCAAAAATGTAAAGCTGACAAGATGAGGAAATTAGGATTCTAAATGTTAACTGCCCCAGGTACTCTCTTCTCAAATGCAGCATTTCAGCAATCAGCAAATGATTAATTTCTGTCAACTGAATGATAAGCATTGAATTGACAAAGGAGTTTGTCTCTGGTGTCTGCATGTGTGTATGTGTCTGCTAAATGTCTTTGTATATTCAAATATCACTGCACTGAAATGACAGAAGGATCTAAGCTTGAATTTTTTATGTTTTGGGGGAAAAACATTTTTAATAGGCTTAAATGTTTAAGTTGCTGGCTGGAGAGCTCAGTGAACTAAGTATTGAGTTGCAAGGCCAGAGGTTGGAAATTCAGTTTGCCAGTGTGCATCCCAGAAGAGCCATCTGGTGTGGTCTTGGGCAAGCTACACCATCCCAGGATGTCCTGAAAAGAAAGGAGTGGTGAACTCTTGAAAGGGTTGCCATAATTCATATTTCAGCTTGGCAGCATATTATTTTTACAATTATTGTTCTTCTTGATATTGTTATTTAATACTAGCTATGCAGTAGTAATGGTAATAAATATTACTCCACCTTTTGACTAAAAAGGGCCACAATATTCCTTGCAAATTCACTTAATATACTGCAAGGCAGAAAAATAATTTCAAAATTCAATTTCAAAATCCAAACTAAATATGAAAAAAAACCCAAGGTACAAAAAACAAACAAACCCCCTAAAACACATTAAAAAATCAGCCATGGCTAATAAATATTGTAAGACCAGGCCAACTACTTTTTGAAATAATAGTGATGGCTAGCAGATTTTACTAGAGGTGTGCTGCCACATGGTAGGTTCACGCTGGTTGTAGCCAAGCCGTTGTTATTTGAAAGTGGTGGCTCCTGCAGAAGGGCCTTAGATAGCTAGTTCTCCTAACTAACTCTTAGTTAGGAAGCGTGTGCATAGGGAAGTAAACAGTTCTGTTATGTAGGTCAGAGGGAGGGAATGTCTTTCCTTCCAGATGTTGGTGGGCTACAATTCCCATCGGACTTACCAAGCATAGCCAATAGTGAAGGATGATGGGAGATGTAGTCTGACAATCTCTAGAGGCCTGAGTGAATTGTATGTCCCATACAGTGGAGTCTTCATTTCCTTGACACTTTTGGAATGAGAACTGTTGTATTTCATCAGACTCTGCCCCCCCCCAATTCCAGTGGAACTAAGAAAGGCAAACTGATGCCCTCCCAATGCTTGGCAAAGTGGTAGCCATTGTTTTGTGTTACTAACTAGCATGATTAACTCTCCAAGGGCTTCTGAAGACTCATTCCACCAGGGCAACCACTATCTTGGCAGCATTCTTTTAAAGTGTCTCCATATTTGACCCGCCACTGCGTGGTCTCAAGCTGCTATAGTCATGTGTCATTAGATACCAGTGCCTGTGCAGATACATCTTTGGGCAGAGACGTTTTGCCTTAATATTGATGTCACATCCATCCCTCCACTAAGTAGATTAGCTTTATATTTTCACATTAATATCATGTTCTGCATGAGTCTTTAATCTCATGGAGAGCACAAAGAAGGAAAAGGGTTCCTTATCTACAACGGTGGCATTTCAAACTTACACAACTCTCTCTTCTCCCCTCTGGGAGGTCTTAGTGGTCCTTTGCTGGATTGTTGGCTTTAGAATTGAGGAAAAATGGAAAGGAACACTGCTGATCCGCATAGGGGTGGGGCTCCTAGCAAAAAGATAAACGCTTAGCTCTTGAATGCTCTGCCTGTGCACGGAAATCCCATATATGTGGGACTGAATGGGCTCATTAATCAGGGCTTGTAGATATAATCAACATAAGCTAATGGCAACAGCAATTTTTAGTCTCGCAAGCACAGAATGGGAAAATGTCAAGAGATTGTCTGCATAGTTGCACTTGAGGGTGGACCTTGGCTGCCTGAAAACAAGAAACAGTGGCAGATCCCACTTTTTTTTAAGGATATAAAATCCAGCTGTTAATCAGTGCTAATGCCATTCTTGCATGGAACAAATGGGTTCCTCAGCTTGGGAGAAAAACTAGAGATAATGCTAGAAGGTGTACTAAGAAAATGTCACTAGAAGCTGCACAGGGTAGCTTTATCTCATAGCTTAGAAGAGTGAGGTCTCTTGGTAAAATATGGTCGTCTTTTCATTTAGAGTTGTAAGAATAATTCCAAATTTACAGTTCTGTAAAAAGTTTATTAAATGGCTCAAAGATCACAGAAACATGCAAGCTTTTGAGACCATCAGATCTCAGTTTTATATTTTCCAAAACGGGGGCTCAATCACTGTTTATTTCTTGTTCCCAGCAATTCTAGAAGCAGTCCCTGATGCAATCACAAATCATCACAACACCCGATGCAGATTAATTTCATGTCCTCAAAACACTCTTTCCCCCATTCTATCTGACCATGCAGATGTCATAATTTCAACACCAAGTCAGTTTCTTTGTTTCATTCACCCTCTCTGCCCTCAAGCTGCTTTTTGTAGCTTCTTGTCTGATGGAGAGATGGGGGGGGGTGTCAAAAGTTTGCACATTTTTATGACCTTTGACTTGTACAAATGAAAATATTACAATATAAATGGATTTTGGACTTTGGCCGGTATATCTAAAATTTATTGTTATGTTCTGTTATGGAAATTAGCCAGATTTATGGAAGATAAGGCTGTCCAGGGCTGATATTCCTAATGGAAAAATGCCACCTCTAGGAACAGAAGCAGCATGCTTGCCCCTGAATACTGTTGCTGTCAGTGAGGGTTTTTTCGCTCATGTCTTGCCTCTGGGTTTCCCATAGACATGAGGGACATTATCTAATGGGCTTTTGGCCTAAACAAGTAGAAGTCTTGTGCTTACTGCAGGGAGAGGCAACTTGTGAATTACATGTGGACTCCACCCTTTTCTGTGATGTCATAGCTGTCGGAACTTGGCAATACATCAGTGACAATAAGAAGAGCAGAACTCCTGTATTTTAACTGTATTTTAATTAATGTGAAATGCAATGCAAAGATGTGTGGCCTATTCTAAAGGAAAACTGTTTTGCAAAACAGGAGGACCAGTTCCTTTTTAGAATCAAGTGGATTCATTCTAGTTTACTTCATTGGCAGTTTTTGATGATTCACAGCAGGGGCAGTATTACCCTAGACTGAAAGTTTTACCTTTGGATTTCGCAATGCTTTCCTTCCCCAGATTACTATTGTTCTATCCCATACAAATATTACTGAAAGGAACAGAGATTTTCTGGCTCTAGAGCTTGATGGATTATATCTGCTATGCATGGATATGCCTATCTTTCCAACATAGCTGTCTTAAAGTAAAATAAGTAAAAAAAAATAAGAGTCTTTGCCCACAGGCTTATAGTTTACATGACACAGAGAAAAAGGTGAGGAGGGTACTGTAATAAACACACTAGTTCCTAAATGTGAATAGTGTTTGTAATGGCTAGCTTTACTGGAAACAGTTACGAGACAGAAGGACCCACACGGCATCTCTGCAGATATGGTGGAGTAGCCCTGGTTCCCTTGCTGCAGGTTGGTGGAATGACTGCTGTCAGGTGAGAGTTGAGGAAAGCAAGAGCTGCTGGATCCAGATTTCAGCAGAACTAATAAAATAGCCATGAGTTCCATCTCTCTCTCTCTCTCTTTCTCGATCTCTGTGTTGTACGCCAAGTACAGCATAAGAGGTCTTCCCTGCAATGTGCTTTTTAACATTGTTTGTGTTGTCAGTGTTATTATTTATTAATGTTTTTCAGGAACATCTATAACAGAGAGGCGATGTGCAATATTTAATAATTGCATGAACTATAAAGTTCAATTTATGAAAGACAGAAGTGCTTCTTTATGTCAGACTATTACTGATCAAAATATTCTGTGTTTCTCTTTAAAGATTGAAATGCCCTTATGAAACAGCTGTAGAACTTTCAGCTTTGTGCCTTCAAGGTATGTCGGTCCCCAGTTGGGTCTGTTCCCAATATTGGCTGATTGTCTACATGGGGGTGGGTGGGGGACTCTTTTTTCATGTGCAGCTCCCTGTGGAATGGGCAGGAAACTGAATTCAAGATACAGCAGCTTAATTGTCATGTGTTTGCCAGTTCAGAAGAAGTCAGTGCTAAGAAATCCCTTCTTTTATCAACAGAGGTTTTGTTTTTATTGCCCCCCCCCCCAATAATATTCAGTAATCAATCAATTTCTGGTGTTTTGTTCAAACAGAAAAATTTGCAGCCATCTGCACCCTAACAGTAGGGTGGGCCTTCTTTTTCATTTCACAGGGAAGTTCAGGGATTGGTCCTACAAATCATCTCAGCCTTATCTTCCGCAGAGGCCACTAGGTTGTTTCTTTTGCACTAAATAATCATTTTCCCCCCATGGGAGGTTGGAGCCAGTATTTTTCCTTCCTTCACTGGGTAGTGCTGTTAACCTGAATGTGGTACAGCAGGGATAGGGTTTCTATGCCCTCAGTAGCTGCCTAGGATCAACAATAGGTTTTACTCAGGCCTATACTTTTAGAGAAATCTTCTTACAGTGCTATGCTAAAAAAGTAAAACTGAGAGTGGGTGGCCAGCTGCCTCTTTATAAAGTGGTTTCCAACCATTTGGATCTGGTGATTTTGCGCAATTAATTCCCAGAAGACCTGAGAAATACTGTGGACTCTGGGCTGCATTAAGTGAAGTTTCTCGGTGTTGTAGTCCAAGGTCATTTATAGAATCAAAGTGGAGCCATATAATATAATTAAAAAAAAAACAAATTAAGGGCCCTTTGAGAACACCTACTGTGGTGTATGTAGTACATAGACTGAAGAACTAGGACTTAGAAGGCCTGGTTTTGAACATTTGCTCAGCTATGGAAGCTCATTGTGGGTGAGGAACAAGTAAAGCCACTTCTTAAATTCTCCTTTACCTTGAAAACCCTAACTTAGTTGTGGCTTGATGGTACATAACAACAACAAGGACATTTGTAAAGATCCTCAGTCATCCAGGTGTGGTTATCTGAAAGTTAAGTCATGGCAACTGAACTTCTTTCTTGTTACATTGAAACATTTCACTATTCATCCCAGTAGCTTCTTTGGTCTGAGGAGAGTTGGTAGGAGTCCATTTCAACCTAACAAGAAAGAAGTCCAGTTGCCATGACTCAACTTCCAGATAACAACAAGAACACTTTGCCTTTTTTTGCGGGGGGGGGGGAATGTAGATTGACATGTACTTCTGCAGAGGAGTATACAGATACAACATTTTTAACAAGTCAAGCTCTGACTAATGTTCCTTTTGAAGAAGTAAACCTAAAAGGCCCTTCTTTTGGTGTAGGTCCAAAATGTAGTGAATGTAGTGCTCAGACGTTAATTTTAATGTGTAATTTTAAGCTCTGGTCTCTTTGATCATAAAATTACACATTAAAATGTAGTGCTCAGAAGTTGATTTTAATCTGTAATTTTATGATCAAAGAGACCAGAGCTTAAAATTACACATTAAAATGTAGTGCTCAGAAGTTGATTTTAATCTGTAATTTTATGATCAAAGAGACCAGAGCTTAAAATTACACATTAAAATGTAGTGCTCAGAAGTTGATTTTAATCTGTAATTTTATGATCAAAGAGACCAGAGCTTAAAATTACACATTAAAATGTAGTGCTCAGAAGTTGATTTTAATCTGTAATTTTATGATCAAAGAGACCAGAGCTTAAAATTACACATTAAAATGTAGTGCTCAGAAGTTGATTTTAATCTGTAATTTTATGATCAAAGAGACCAGAGCTTAAAATTACACATTAAAATTAACTTCTGAGCACTACATTTTAATGTGTAATTTTAAGCTCTGGTCTCTTTGATCATAAAATTACACATTAAAATTAACTTCTGAGCACTACATTTTAATGTGTAATTTTAAGCTCTGGTCTCTTTGATCATAGGGACGTGGTGGCGCTGTGGGCTACACCACAGAAGCCTGTGCTGCAGGGTCAGAAGACCAGCAGTCGTAAGATCGAATCCACGCGACGGAGTGAGCTCCCGTCTCTTGCCCCAGCTCCCGCCAAACTAGCAGTTCGAAAGCATGCTGATGCACGTAGATAAATAGGGACCACCTCGGTGGGAAGGTAACAGCGTTCCGTGTCTAAGTCACACTGGCCATGTGACCACGGACGATTGTCTTTGGACAAAACGCTGGCTCTATGGCTTGGAAACGGGGATGAGCACCGCCCCCTAGAGTAGAACGCGACTGGACAAAAATTGTCCAGGGGAACCTTTACCTTTACCTCTTTGATCATAATAGCTGTCCTTACAAGGATATGGTAATATGCCCTTTGGCCTTCTCCTTGAAGATTAGCGATGTGCCCAGGTCCCCCAGTTTGGTCTGGAGTGCTCTCTACCCTATTTGCATTGATTTGTACCCTACATCTGAATCAGTTGTGAGCCTCCCATTGACTTGTATTGGAAAGAATGAACAGTTGCAACCTTTTAATGTTTGCACTGATGTGCCTGAGAGACATGAGCTACTCCAAAGATGGGAGCAAATCTGCCAAATTTCTGGCCACTAAATTCATTGAGTTGTGTACTGGGCAGCATTAAAATTTATTTTTAAGGAAGAGTCAGAAGCTACTTGTGCCTCATCCGATTTAATTTATGCTATAGACACAAATCAATTTATAAATTCTTCTTTCTACTCTTGAATCAAATCTGGCCATTTTACTTTGCTTCAGTCATCATTAGTGATCTGAATCAAGCTGATATGGTGAATAATTTGGGATTTTGCCTGAATGTGGTACACAGCCTTACTAGAGAGGGCAGTTTACATCTTTGTCTCCCACAGACTGTGCTTCTCATCTTGAGCCTTCTGCGGTTTGAGGACTCTCTTTTTCAGCCTTCGAGATTGACTGTTTATAAAAGGCTAATGGAACCAATACATAAATATGCATGTGTACAAATGCAGCAGAGTCACAAATTTTTTCCTCAGAAATTTTAAGCTTCAGACCAGGCCCACATTCCTAGCAACGTTTCTCTGAAAATACTCTTTTTGCAAAGATAACAAATGGGCAGGAACATTATTGAAATTTGTTCAATTAAAGTTTCATCCTATTATCTAGATATATCTGATTTTTGTCCAAAATTATAAATTCAGTATGAAAACATTAATTTTAGTAATATCTAAGCTGAAATCAGTTTCTTTTAGAGCTATAACTAGCAATTTTAGAAACTGAGACAAGCATTGGTCTCTGATGCATGAATACAATAACCCCCTCCGGGAGGAAGGAGGAACAGAATGCAGTGCCCCTCCCTCGCAAAAGAGCGTGTTCACTTGCCAAAAAGGGAGAGTCAACAGGGCTGACTGTTTCCCCCCACACACACCGCTCATAATTAGGGTCATCTCTAGATTTTGTCACTCTAAATTCTGGTGCTCTGGGACAAAGCCCCAGTTCCCCTGTCCTAATTACAGCCCCACCTTCTCCCTCCCTTCCTTCCCTCCCTCCCTCCCTTCCTTCAGAGATGATAGGTTATCTATTTTATCTGTTGTTTTTCAGATTGTAATTTGAACACACACCAATCATTTTCCTAGAAAAAGCTATCAGATTAAGTGGAACCAGTTCATATCCTCTAATATTCCAGAAAAGTAGAAAGAGTGTGCCATGAATTGGATTGTAAATGTAAATCATAAATTTCTCCATGAATCAGTGTTTTTGTATTTTAAATTTTTCTTTCATTCGTTGGTTATTATTCTTTTATTTTCTGGATTTGGCTAAGACAGAAAAACTTAAATAAAGATAGTGCTGTAGAAACATATTACTGGAAATATGTCTTGGGAAAAGGTGATGATGTTGCTGGTTATATATTATGGGAATGATCTTTTGTTTGGAATTTTCAACTTTGGCAGCTGAACTTGGTGACTGTGAACTTCCTGAACACACTCCAGAACTCGTGTCAGAATTCAGATTTACTCGTAACCAAACCGAAGCAATGGAATTCGAAATTTTTCAAAAGTGGAAGGAGTTCAGGTATAGTAGCTACATAGAATTGTGGTTTTGAGGGAGAGGTTATGATTAGCCTATGACAGGGAGTCTGAGGAGGAGCTTAAACAAGGGAGGCTAAGAAAGAAATTAACTTTCTGTTTCATTCTGCAAAACAATGCCTTCAGAAACAAAAGTATTATTTCTTTGTGTTTTTTTCTGCCTTGTGTTTTCATAGGGGGAAAAGCCCAGCCCAAGCAGAAATGTGCTATTTGAACAAAGCAAAGTGGTTAGAAATGTATGGGGTAGATATGCATATAGTTAAGGTAAGTAATTGTCTCTTCAGTTTTTTTCTGCAAGGTGATCAGCATATGAATATTTTCCCACTGAATGTATCACATAGTTTTTACAAAATCCACTACATTTTCCCACTGAATGTGTCACACCATTTTTACAAATTCACCAGCTACCTCATTTCCCCAGTGGCTGGAACTTTGCATGTAATACCATATTTTCTACTTATAGGGAAGAGATGGTTGTGAATATGCGCTTGGATTGACACCAACAGGTATCTTGATCTTTGAAGGAGCAAACAAAATAGGCTTGTTTTTTTGGTGAGTTACATTTCCTTATGCTTACTTTTATTCATTTATACATTTGTTTCCTCTACTTCCCATGGGTGGAGTTTTTTTTTTCCTGGCTTTTTATTGATCACAGTTATGCTTATCTTTTAAAGATCCCTTCTGTCTGCTCAAAGCACTTAGCACACATTAAGTATAACATTTATATCCTTAACTTTGTTTTATGTTGGTTATATTGAAACATACAGACTCATTTTTATTAATATTGGATATATTGACATAACACAGATACGTTGTAGGATATTAAAAATAATAATAAATATAAGAGGAACCAGGTGTAGTAAGATCAAAGAGCTCAAGCTAAAAAAACGGAAAGAGCCTTGCCAAAATGGAAAAGAAGCCTTCAGCCGGTGATGAAATGTCAGTAAGAATGTGACTGGATTTTTTGAGTAGGGAATTCCACTGCTTAGTTGCGGCCACAAACAGCAGCACAGAACGTCTTGCAGAAGCCCACCGCTGTGTCTCAGATAGATGTGGGATGCTATCCAAACAGACAGGAATGTTCATCTGCAAAGTGACAGTTACAGTCCATTACATATCCTGGTTCTAAGCTGCTGTGTTTTTTTTTCAAAGTGGTGACCAACACTTTCAAATGAGCACAGAAACAAACAAGAATCTTATAAGGCTAGTAGAATTTCATGCTCCAGAGAACAAAACCCAGGTGAACTTTAGCTGCTGCTGTATGTTGTACCAGCTGAAATTTTTCAACACTTCTCCAAGGCAATTCCATGTACATTATGCAATAGGAATCCAAATTATGTGAAAATAAAGCACAACAGGCTGCAATATTCATGTTCCTTACAGCAGTCCTGTAAAGTTTTTATACCTGTATAGTTTATTCATGTGGTCTAGATTAATGCTAATTTTAGATCCCCAGATATTTGATTACAATCTCTGTAATCCTTAGCCAGCATGGTTTGTGATAAGGCATAGTGAGAGTAGGCCATCAGTATGTGGGAAAACAAGACCAGGAACTGTTGGTCTAGAAAAAAAGAGATATTGTTTATGGCTGACAGATCTAATTTGCAGATGCAAGTTCATGGCTGAAGTGAAATTTAAATGAGGACTTCCTCATTCTCAACTCTGGCTTCTTAGAATGCTATTCAATATCAGTGAACTATTTCTTAGTATTGGAGGACTGACAATGGTTAAAAATAGTGAAAAGAGTTTTAAAGCAACAGCCAAGTAAATAATGTGGTTAAATAGCTCAGTTTTAAATGCTTGAGTAATTATTTTATTTCTCTTGTAAATTAACATGTATGTTTCCTGTTTACTGTGGAATTAGGCCTAAAATCACTAAAATGGACTTTAAAAAGAGCAAGCTGACGCTTGTGGTGGTAGAAGATGATGAACAGGTAACTTTTCCATGTTGTTTTGAACCCACTCTAGACACATCTCTAGAGTGTCTTCTCTTTGACAGATGTTTATAATTAGACTCCACACATTCCAATTTCAAAACCACCCTTTTAGTAACATAAGTGCATATGTGGAAATGTAACAGGGCTTCATTTTTTTCTCTTCTAGGGTAGAGAGCAAGAGCACACATTTGTTTTCAGGTTAGATAATGCTAAAACATGCAAACACCTCTGGAAATGTGCGGTGGAACATCACGCCTTCTTCCGGTTGCGCACGCCTGCAAACAGTAAATCTAGCCGGTCGGATTTTATCAGGCTGGGATCCCGTTTCCGTTTCAGGTAGAGGCAGTTTTTGTGTTTCAGATAAGCCCACAGCAGTTCAACATTTATGACTTGTTTCTTAGTCGTTTGTGGCACACTGGTGGTCTAAATGTGGGAGAGGGGATAGTTTTTTCTCTCTTTCTTGTTTGGAAACTAGTCTTATTTCAGATGAATATATGTATATCTAAGGGAATGATGTTTATTGACATTAACCATTATTTTTTGACATTATTGTTCGTCATCTTCCATCTATTATTGATAGTGATTCTTACAAGACCCTTCCACTAATTTGAAACACTATCAAAACAAGGTTAAAACATAAAATCATTAAAATCAAATAAAACAAGTTGATTAAAACAGTTACAATCAATTAATCTATACACAACTAAAATAATCTCAATATATTACATTTGAATTACATCTATGAATTTCTGCTGCCTGTTTGCAAAAGATTATGTATGTTTGTATAGGAGAATCTTTTGATCCAGGAAGACTGAGGATGTGAAGTATGGCTAAAGCCTATGGCTTATCCTCAGTAAAGTACTCCATGTATTTACCTATTGAAAGCATGGTTGCTAAATTCCTTGTTGTGGGTGAATAATTTTTTCCCTTCCAGAGTCTCAGAAACTTGCTTATATGTCTCCAAGGCACATAAAATATTAATCTCCTATTACTTTACTGTCTCTGAAAGTGGAGTAGATTCGTGAAACATGCTTGTCACTTCTTATCATGTTCACATGATCTCTCTACATCATATCCTTCCCTTCCGGCAGTCAGGCATTAGTTTGCCAAAATTTATTAAAAGGTAATCCACATGGCTTCAGTTTTTGCATTGAGTCTTAGATTTTAGGATTGCTTTAACATTTATATCTAGAGATCTTGTAGTGGCTGGATTTTGTAGAGCACTCCATGAGCGTCAACACTCCCCTGATCTGGAGATAATTTGTTATAGCATGGCTGATTCAGTTCCTCCTAATCTCTTTGTGTATGAACAAAAAATACGAGGTGAAAAATGCTTGCTTTTTCTTATTCTCATCAGTTTAGACTGTCTTTCATGATGAGATGTGTGGCGAAGAAATTTCCATGACCTCAGGATTCCTTGACCCAGAATGAGAGCAAGACAAGGGGCTTACCCCCATTAAGGTCTCTGCACTTTGCAGAAAAAGAGGACTCTGAAAGGGAGTGCCCTTCCCTTTGAGATGCAAAGCAGACACACAGGAAACACAGAAAGACAGGGTGGTTGTTCACCCCACTCCTCCAATGCTTTAAGCCTGAAAAAGCAAACAAAGCAACAACTAGTTTACAATTTTGTCCAACTCATGTTATTTGTGCAGAAGTCATTCCTGCAACTGACAGAATTTTAATTGAAAACATCAGAAAATAAACCCTCTCATAGGCACAAATAAAATGTTAGCAGTTTGTAGTTATGCAGTTAAATTACCTCTCTATTCTTAAGTGGAGACACTTTGTGCAGCTTGCTCAAGGACAATGTGCTCTGTTTCCCTACCAGTTCCAAGCATTCTATATTCCCTTCTGTTAATCTCTGAAGGAGGATTATTGTGTCATCAGTAAAAGTATATTTGGGAGCAATCTGTGCCTGTCATGCCCCATTGGAGAGAGACTTTCTGTTTTGTGACTGTCTGGTTAAAAGATTCAATTTGTGAAGGAACCTCTCAACTTCTGCCTTCTCCTACAACATCTAACCCCATCATGGGATTTACATCTGGTTGTGAAGAAGATGACTCTTGGCTGTTTGAGCCCATGGCCTGTTTAAGCCCATCACCAGCTTACTTTTGAGACTGCCTTTTCAGGAACATTGTCATCAGATCACCTTATGAGTGAATGAAAGGCCTATGGGTTGGTCCTTCATATTCCATACGGATAACATTGTACTGGTTAAAAGATTCAATTTGTGAAGGAACCTCTCAACTTCTGCCTTCTCCTACATCATCTAACCCCACCATGGGATTTGCATCTGGTTGTGAAGAAGATGACTCTTGCCTGTTTGAGCCCATCACCAGCTTACTTTTGAGACTGCCTTTTCAGGAACATTGTCATCAGATCACCTTATGAGTGAATGAAAGGCCTATGGGTTGGTCCTTCATATTCCATACGGATAACATTGTACTTTGCACAGATCCCTTGTTTCTGCCTAATGAGGTTTCCACATTCCTCTGAATCAGGACATTTTATTACCTGCCTTCTTTCCCAAGCTGTTTGTCACCCTTGGGAGCACTCCTTCCACTGCCTTGACATTAGTGGTGTATACACATTGGTGGTATATCAATACAGGACTGTATTTAACTACCCTGTAGTGTCCATGAGCAAATGGGTGCCCTAAACTTGGACTGCTGGTTAAATGTGGCATTTTTTTTGTTGAGTGCTGAGTTTGGTTCATACAAATTTATTATCAGATTGGAGATGATCACAACCTGTTCCAATTGTTTTCTAAAGCGTTTGTCACCCTTGGGAGCACTCCTTCCACTGCCTTGACATTAGTGGTATATAAACATTGGTGGTATATCAATACAGGACTGTATTTAACTGTCCTGTAGTGTCCATGAGCAAACTTGGACTGCTGGTTAAATGCAGCATTTTTTGTTGAGTGCTGAATTTGGTTCATACAAATTTATTATTGGATTGGAGATGATCACAACCTGTTCCATTTGTTTTCTAAAGATCTTTCTCTGTTGTCGAGCAACGTGTGTTTGTGACTACTATCTGCATTGGAATTGTTTGAGATGAAGGTAAATAGGGCGTGAATCCAGTACCAACTTATAGGTGAATAAGCACCATGTCTGAGTGGACATACATAAAATTCCAATGTACCTCTGTTATCTTAATTACTGTTAACTCGACGGAGAAGATCAGGCAAAAAATTAGGAATTTAATGTTGTACCAAATCAGTCTCTTTCTCTGGTGTCGAGCAATGTGTGTTTGTGACTACTATCTGCATTGGAATTGGTTGAGATGACAGTAAATGGGGCGTGAATCCAGCACCAACTTACAGGTGAATAAGCACCATTGAATCTCTGAGTGGACATACATAGAATTCCAATGTACCTCTGTTATCTTAATTACTGTTTTTTGCAGTGGCCGAACAGAGTACCAAGCAACACATGGGTCCAGGTTACGCAGAACCAGTACGTTTGAAAGACGGCCCAGCAAGCGGTATCCGTCCCGAAGGCACTCAACTTTCAAAGGTTAGCATTCACAGCCAACCCACTTGTATGTGCCTTTTTTATTGCTGTTTTAACGTAACAAACTGTTTAATGGAAATCAGAGTTTTCACCTCATCATTTCTTTTCATATGCTTTCACGTTATTGCTGAAGGAATGGCTATTGGAGGCAGGAATAGAGGTCTAAAAATGTTGTGCACTTTATAAATGCACTGCTTGTAAAAAAAATTTACCAGTGTCATCACCATCTCCCTTTTCTTTTCTGACAGTTTCCTTCATTTATTATATTATTTTTTTAAAAGATCTTTATACTACCTGTCATATGCAGTATACATATTAGTGTGGTGTACAATAATAAGACAAAGCTATATAGAGCAGAACACAACTATAAAGTATCATGAGCTGCAGTATATTTGGTTTTGCTGCACTTTATTACACCTAATCAGTGAGTAAATTAATTGTGTGCTGGCATTTTAATTATGACTTATGGTGATCCTGCCAGAGTTTCCTAGATATAAAGGGCAGCCCACTTATCCCCATCAACCACACATGCTCTGGATAATCTTGACTGGCCACTTTTCAAGGAGACAGAGTGGATGGAGATCCAGACTCCTGGTCCTTGGCTCCACAGCAAGGCACTCCAACCCACTGAAGTATTCCAGCTCTGATTCTTAGTTCTCAGAATTACTTGAAATGTCCCCAAGTAAGGCAGCAGGTTTTTCTCTGTGTAGTATTTCCTATGCTGGAAATAATAATTACATGGTCTCAAGTAAATTATGGTGACCATTTTCCTGGTTTTCTAGGTAGGGATCATTCCCATTTTCTGGGGGCACCCTGAGACTGTGTAGCTTGCCCAGGACCACACAGGTTGATTCTCAGGAGGGCCAGTGAAGAATCAAATGTCTAACCTCTGGCTCCACAGCCAGAAACCTAACTCACTGAGCTATTTAGCTGGCTACAGTTTGGAAATAGAGTGTCCCTAAAGCAATGAGCTGTATCTTCATTATGAAGAAACATTGTCCAATCAGTGGAGACATGAAGGCCTATGGGGAGGAACTGGAAGAATGAATTGTGCAGGATACACTTTTCCCATGTCTTTCCGCCCAAAAGCTGTTCTGTTTCTCCCTCATTTTCTCAAAAGATTTTTTTATTATGAAATGTTTTGTTTTAGAATGATCAACAAAATTGAAAACACTTGTATACTAGGGAATGTTACGTCTCCAAAATGTTTTAAACACACTTTGTAGTGTACTGGAAAGGAACTTGTGAAAGGATAGAGAAGTTGGCTCAGTATGGGCAAACATTTTTTAACATCTATGAAGATGATTAAAAAACTATTAAAAGAAGCAGAAACTACTGATAGAGATAAAAAGGAGGCTGATTAGACTAAGTTTTATGAAGCAAAATTAGTGTTCAGTGAATCTTTATTTAATCATAATCTTAGAACTGCAGAGCTGGAAGGGATCCTATGGATCATCAAGTCCAGCCCTTATAAAGGAGGCACAGTGGGGAATTGAATTCCCAACCTCTGGTTCTGTAGCCAGATACCTAAACCACAGAGCTATCTAGATTGCCTCATCTTTGTCTTTCTTTGAGTGCCTTTGAAGTCAGCTTGACACTGTGAAGGAGACTCAGAGTTCAGAGTCTCCTTGTTTTGTTTTGTCCTGCAGCCGATTATATCTGTCCATTTTCAACTTTAACATTTTGTCTTGTTCTCATGAACATGCAAAGTTAAGAGAAGTATTTTTTTTTTAGAGTCCAGTCGTTTGTAGTTGTATTTGTAGTAGAAGTTTAAAGCATTTGAGAAGTAATTCAAGAAATAAATGTGTAATTATTGAGGGAACAAACTATGTTTTAAATTTTATGTAACTAAATCTGATACTTTTATAAGCAAAACATTATATATAATGTAGTTGTAGAAAGGGTGGCCATGTTAGTCTGTGCAAGTATTATGGGTAAAAGCAAAATAGAAATAAAAAGTAAAAAAAGACAAAAACTTGGTGGCACCTTAGAGACTAACTTATATTTTTTTAATGTGAGCTTCATGGACAAGGTCCACTTCATCAGATATAAAAAAATATTTTTATATAACGCATTTCAAATCACATATAATGCATTTCAGACTACTAAAGGTTCTGTGAATCTAATGGATAGAAACGCCATGCAAAACATGCAAGAAGTAAAGAAGTAGAAAAGTACAAAACAGTTATTTGATATTTCTTTTTAAATGATGTTCCTTAGCCTATCAAAGTACTTAAAGCAGCCTATGGTCCAGTTTTCATGTGGAGTCCCTATGTGGTTTCTTTATTTCAAAAATATTTTTAGAAGTAATTCAGTCTTTTGTTCTCTTGTCTGTTTGGGATGGTATTGCTGGAGCTATCCTTAATTTGGAGCTTGGCCGTAGCTCTTTAGATTGCTCAGCTTGGGCAGTTTCTGATCGCTATTGTTGTAGGTGCAGTGTAACTTGTTTAAGAAGTTTTTTATTGTCTTGGCAATGACGAATACTTAAAAGTACTTACAAGAAGAACAGTGGGGGGAAGGCATGTTTATAGGACTTTTGTTCCATATAGTTACTGTCCTTGGCACTGGAACAAGCGAAACCAGGGTCAAATGGAAATTGGAGCCCATAGACCTGCAAGAAGTATTTGAGGCCGTCCAGGGCTCTGCTGTCTATGCAGAGCCGAACTTGCCCAGTTTTTGATGGCAGGTTACATGAGGTTTCAGTGGTTTCCAAAACATGAGAAAGCTTCACTGATTTCCAAAATATAAGAAAACCTCCCCCTCCCAACATGCCCCAGTGGCTTGCTCTTGGAAACCTGGAGGTGATACAACAGAATTTGAGTTTTACAGCCAAACAAAAAACTCTGGCAACTGCCCCTTCCGAAACAGAGGCAAAATATTTTCCTCACCCTTCTTAACCCCCCTTTGTCCCATAGGATACTCCTTGACACTTTTTGAATTTTATATATGAAGCACTCATAGTGCTTCAGTTTCAGAAACTCAGTGTTCCTGGGTGAACATTTTTTTTCATCCAAGAGAGACAGAGAGTCTAACAGGTACAAAGGAGGTTGTCCTCTTAATGCTGTCTTTTAATGATGTAAGATGCCTCTTTACATTCATTGCTTTCAGATTTAAATATTGCCTTTCAATGATGTAAGCCACCTTGAATCCTTCTTAAGGAAAAAGGCAGAATAAAAATATCTTAAATACATAAATAAATACTGAAGAAGCCTGTGGAAAAGTTCAGAATGGGAATTGCTCTGCACTGATTATCTCTGACTCAGTGTAAAAGTCTCCCATTTGAGATGTTTAATGGTTTGGAAATTATGGGCATCAGAGTATGTGAAGTTTGGAATAGTCTGGCCTTTCGCATGATGTATTCTGCATATAATTTAAATAAGCAAGGGGGACAATATACAGCCTTGTCATACTCCTTTCCTAATTTTGAACCAATCAGTTGTTCCATATTTTATTTTATTTATTTATTCTAACTGTTGCTTCCTGTCCCACATATAGATTTCTCAGGAGATAGATAAGGTAGTCAGGCACTCCCATTTCTTTAAGGACTTGCCATAGTTTGCTGTGGTCCACACAGTCAAAGGCTTTTGCATAGTCAATGAAGCAGAAGTAGATATTTTTCTGGAGGTCTCTGGCTTTCGCCATAATCCAGAGCATGTTAGCAATTTGGTCTCTAGCTCCTCTGCCCCTTAGAAATCCAGCTTATATTTCTGGGAGTTCTCGGTCTACATACTGCTGAAGCCTACCTTGTATGATTTTGAGCATAACCTTGCTAGCGTGTGAAATGAGTGCAATTGTTACGGTAGTTGGAGCATTCTTTGGCACTGCCTTTCTTTGGGATTGGGATGTAGACTGATCTTTTCCAGTCCTCTGGCCATTGTTGAGTTTTCCAAATTTGCTGGCATATTGAATGTCCCAAACATAATTGCATTAGTTAATTGTCCCAATGATTTTGATTTTAAATAAGCATTGAAGACTTGACTCTTTCATCAGGCTTTCCCGGAGCATTAAGATCTTGGTCTCCCTTTTACCATCGTTTTTGTCATCCTCTCTATCACTTTTTTTACCATCTTTATTGCCATCTGTTTTAATTTACCCTATTTAGCTTGTACTAATTTATTTATTTTTATCATGTTTTAATATTGTTGTTTATGCTGCTGTTAGCTGCCCAGAGTGGCCTGGTTGCCAGGGGTACATATTCAATAAATAAATAAATTACAGGCTTTTATTTGTTCCCATTGAAAAAGAAAAGAAAAACATTTCAGGAACAAATCAGATATTAAGTTCTCTTTTGCATCCAGACTGGGAAATGAAGAGAGGTTAACAGTGAACCTTTCTATGAATCACATTTTAGAGTAGGAAGTGGGAGCTAGGGAGCGCATGTATGCCTATAGTAAATGAAGAGAGGTTAACAGTGAACCTTTCAGTAGGAAGTGGGAGCTAGGGAGCACATGTATGCCTATAGAACATGAAACTTGAGCTGGATTTAACACCCTGCATGCACTGCTGCAGTGTTATGTTGTATATAAAATGTGGTTTGTTTTGCTTTTCAATGTGATAACTTTGGTTTTCTGTACCCTCTCTTCAGCAAGCAACACTGTCAAAGCATCACAACTTTGGTAAGTGTTAGCCAGATTTCATATTCATGTTTTGATTTGGCATCCATGATCAATGGCTTGGATTCTTGGAAGAATAATAATGCATTATTAGCCGTAGCAGTAATGCATATGAAGCTGCTCACTCAGGCTCATGGCCAAAATGTGTGACTTTTTCTCAATTATTATTATTAAAGTTACGCAACAGGATTTTGCCCACTGTTACTTGTTTTTCTAGGGGTTAAAGTGTCATTACCAATTGTTGGATTTCTGTTTAAAAATGCCCCAAAGTGCATAACTTTATTTCCAAACTCTGGAGAAGCTACATAATAGTTTTTTATAACACCTTCATGAGGAAAATTAGGAGTAGTGATATTTTAAATCATAATTGTCCCATTTAACACATTTTTCTGTGTTGTAGGGGGGAAAGGGAATACTGTATAATATGGGTTTTATGAACTGAAAATTACTAATTTTACTAACGAATAGTTTTTCCAAAGTAAACCATGACTCATTTTAAAGGATGAAATTTCAAACTTTCAAATAGTACTTCAGGAAATCCAACTTTTTACTAAGTAAAAACTAATTTAAGATAGGTTTTTTGACATTATGGGCATGAAATACAGCTACTCTACTGTGACGTATGCTAAGCAATAGGATTTTAGCCAATGTGTGAAGGCTTTTTTTTATCTCATCCTCAGATGTTACAAAAGACAAATTTAGGGAAGGCTGGGGAGGACATGGGTGGAATGAGTTGTAATGGTGTCTGCATGATCTTTGGCTCTAATGGTGAGAAGAGTCCTTCAGATACACAAAGAACACTCTAACAGGCTTTGAAGTGTCTGTAATGATTAGTTGTAAGTGTTTTTGCTTCAGTTCATTGAAGTGAGACTTCTGTATCCTCTGGATCAGATAATTATGAAATGTTTAAAAACATTCCAACTACAAGTATTAATTAAAGCCATTATTGCATAAAGTATAGGAACAGATGGCAGTCTCTGCCACTGAAAGGCAAAGAGGATATGTCTGTTAGCTGTGAGAATGAGTATTGCATGTAGAGAGTGTAAATGGAACAATGTATGAGGGGTAGAAGTGGTACAGTGAATGTAGAACATGTTGAGGGGGGGAATTCCCCAAATTATCATGTCTTGAATCACTATCTGTGCTTCTTCAAGCATAATTCAAGTTCCAAAAAGCTAAGAGTAAAGAAATGGAAAATATGATGGTTATTAACAGAAGATGTTGCTTGTTGATAATTTTTTTTTCTTGGTAGGATAATCTTCTGTAATACAGCTTTGAGAGCTATGCAAAAAAAATAGAACATAATATACTCTATCAATCTTTCTGTTTTAGTGTTAAAAATAATCCAGAAATCCATAACCATCAGGTAAGAAAAATATTAACTTGTTTTATTAATTTATTAAGAAGTTCTAATAATATCAAAGCAGTCCTTGTGATACATATGTTTCACCTTAGTGTGTCACTGGTATATTGGACTTTAGCTAAAGGTTGTATCTGAGACCTCTCCTTGAATTTTTTTTTATTAAAAAATGAGACACAGGGAGGTCCTGTGAAAGACCCTAGTGATTTGGCAGTGTCCTATGAGATCGTAAATACTCTCCAGAAAAGCAAGCTCACACATTACATTTAATGTACGCATCTGATATAAAAGGAGTTATCTCAATGGTACTACCACATGCAGCAGTACACTAAAAATTGCTACACTAGTCTTTTTTTTAAAAAATGTTAAAAGTGAAGGTCAGTTGTATTCCTTGCCATAGGGCCAGAATCCTATTCATCTTCTGTACATACATAAGAAAAAATGTGTAAGTTACTGTGGCTTACTAATAAGATATTGATCATTTTTGGGTAGCGTGCCTGGACACAAGCCATGTCCCGTGCCTGATGCATTCGTGGCATCTTATCAGTAAGCTGTAGTTTAGTCTCAGGAATGTCCATGTTCTCCCTTATGCATGGTAAATGACCCATAGGAATCTAGCCACAATGTTTAAGAAAATTCTGAGATAGATAGATAGACAGACAGACAGATGATAGATAGATAGAGAGAGAGAGAGAGAGAGAGATAGGCAATATTGTCTCAGCTGTAATGACTGAGCCGAAATAATTGCCACCAAAAAAATTAACCTTGTTTCAGTAGCCTGTTTCCTATGGTAATATTAGCTTGATGCTACTATTAGAAATGTTTTTTCTGAAATTATCAAAACTGGTGTGGTTATTAAGGAATCATTTACCTAGTGGAATAAAGCCTCCTACTTCAAATAATAGGTTAGGTTTATGTTTAGGTTAAATATATTTGATTACCTCTTCTAAAATGTAAGAGAGTTTTCTCCAGTTAAATAAACTCACAATAAATTTTCTTCTTGACATTCTGTTCAGACCTCCACCTAGAGCTTTCTAAGGGGACTTTCTGCTACTTCTTGATATTTCTTCACAACCACACAGTATAATTTCCTGCTGTCGTCAGCTACCAGCTCGGTCTTTCATTCAAAGAGAAAGGCTTGTTCATTTCTCAATGATGAACTCTGCACTCTTCAGCCACCACCTCTATCCCTACTGACTGTACCAACAGATTCCAATTTTCTCTAGTTTCCTTTTTAAAATGTTGGCCATGATCTTTGACCACAATTTATAGACAATCAGACTTGTTGGCTGCTTCATCAGCTGTAGTTAGAACTTCCACCTGGTACCTACGGTATGTAAACAGTGGCAGCTTCTTCCAGCTCAGCTTGAAGCTTCCTTTTCATAACAACCATATATAATCAATACAATCTTCTCTACCTGATGCCTTATTGGATAACAAAGCCACGTTTCTTGCCTTCTGAATTATGGTATAATGTGTAGAGGTCGGTCAATGAATAGAAATATTTCAAAACATAAGCCAAATCCTGTTGCATACGTTACACCTACAGAAGGATGATTATGTCATTGAGAGGGGAATAGATTTTCGATAATTAACGGGTTCCTTCTTCCATCCGGGACTCACATGCAGTGAGACTGATTACATGCATGTTGGACAAGCTGCAGGACAGAAGTTAGAGCTCCTTAGTTACCAAAAATCTACACCTGTCAGTGACACTATTATACTTCTGTAGGCATAACTTACACAACAGGATTGTAACCATAGACAAATGTGTAAAGATTCAGCACATCTTCACAATATTTGCTGTGTTTTCAAGTGCTCAGTTGCAAATGTGCATGAGAGGTGGGATCAAACTTGTGTTTGTGTATTTTAAACTGCTTAGCAAAACATGATAGCTTGAGGCTTTCTGTCAGTAAGATTTCTACTGGCAAAACCAGTGCAATTTGTTAAAAGAGTCAGCAAAATCATTTGGGAGATACTGTCAACCCACCAGAATTGCAGTAATCAAGACATATAGTTGTTCAACACCAGTTTTGAACTTCTTTACTGTAGAGGAAAACAAATTCCATAATGTTATCAGGAGAAGGACGTTGATACATAAGTACAGCAATGTAACCATGCTAGGTAATACCAGTGCTATATTCTACTGTACAGTAAGTAGGTCCTGCCCATGACAGGAATTAGCATTGATGGCCTTAATTCATCTAGAATATTGGAGCCATTCATGACTTACACTAGGTCAAAAATATGTAAAACATTGCAAGAGGCAGACTTGCTTTTGTTACTGCTCCTTCATGGGGTTAAAAACAAACAATCAAGCAAACCAAACAAACCCCAATATACATATAACACTAACACAGAGAAAGAAGTCCTTTTTCAGCCCCCTATGGTTTGCATAGGCAGGTTTTGTTATTTTTTAATGTAGAGTAGTCTCTTCACAGGGCTAGAGTCAAGCTCAACAAGGTCTTCTTTCCCCGCTGATTCTGCCAAGCCCGTTCCCTTGGCTGTGGTCTCGCTAGATAGTAGGTAGGGACAGTGGGAATCTGATCATTTTTTTACTTACTCAGTGAGGTGGGGGGCCGAGCCCTGAGGGGCTCTTGCTTCTGGCTCCAAGCGCCTGGCACGGGCTGGGCGCGACCCAATCCGGGGACAGCGTCAGGTGGGGAGTTTGACTGGGGCTGTACACCTGTCAAACCGTAACACAGGTGTCCTAAGGCGAGCTCAGGGAGGACAGAAACCTCCCGTGGAGCAGAAGGGCAAAAGCTTTATTGATCTTGATCTTGAATGTAGAGTAGCATCAAAATAGTGATCTCTAACTGTATGAAGAGATACATTATTTTCTCTTTTTTCTGGATTTCTCTATTTCATTCCCACTCAGTGCATCTGAACCTAACCAGATGTTTTTAAAACACTAAATGTGCAATTAAACCTCACAAAAATTGTTCTTAGAATTGATATTAATAGATGACTTCTTGTCAACTATAAAGCTCCCTGTCCTGAAATAAACAATTGAAAATACATTGTAACCGACAAATGGTCATGCCGATAGTGGGACTGAAGGGATCCAGTTATCGAGGCGGGGCTTTGCCAACTTGCCCGGATTGACACGTGGCATCAGAGGGCCGTACGCGAAAACAGCCGAGGGGCATGGGCTATCAGAGGGCATTTAAAGGAGTGCACCCCCATTGTCTATCGTCGGCCATGCTGAACTGGCAGCACGCCCGATCAGGCAATCACGGTGCTGGGAATTAAAGATACACTGGGCACGCTGGAACCTCTTTACTGTAGAGAAAAACAAATTCCATAATGTTATCAGGAGAAGGACGTTGATACATAAGTACAGCAATGTAACCATGCTAGGTAATACCAGTGCTATATTCTACTGTACAGTAAGTAGGTCCTGCCCATGACAGGAATTAGCATTGATGGCCTTAATTCATCTAGAATATTGGAGCCATTCATGACTTATACTAGGTCAAAAATATGTAAAACATTGCAAGAGGCAGACTTGCTTTTGTTACTGCTCCTTCATGGGATTAAAAACAAACAAACAAGCAAACCAAACAAACCCCAATATAAATATAGCACTAACACAGAGAAAGAAGTCCTTTTTCAGCCCCCTATGGTTTGCATAGTCAAGTTTTGTTATTTTTTTAATGTAGAGTAGTCTCTTCACAGGGCCAGACTAGAGCCAAGCTCAACAGGGTCTTCTTTCCCCGCTGATTCTGCCAAGCCCGTTCCCTTGGCTGTGGTCTCGCTAGATAGTAGGTAGGGACAGTGGGAATCTGATTGTTTTTTCACTTACCTGCTGAGGCGGGGGGCGAGCCCCGAGGGGCTCTTGCTTCTGGCTCCAAGCGCCTGGCACGGGCTGGGCGCGACCCAATCCGGGGACAGCGTCAGGTGGGGAGTTTGACTGGGGCTGTACACCTGTCAAACCGTAACACAGGTGTCCTAAGGCGAGCTCAGGGAGGACAGAAACCTCCCGTGGAGCAGAAGGGCAAAAGCTTTATGGATCTTGATCTTGAATGTAGAGTAGCATCAAAATAGTGATCTCTAACTGTATGAAGAGATACATTATTTTCTCTTTTTTCTGGATTTCTCTATTTCATTCCCACTCAGTGCATCTGAACCTAACCAGATGTTTTTAAAATACTAAATGTGCAATTAAACCTCACAAAAAATCGTTCTTAAAATTGATATTAATAGATGACTTCTCGTCAACTATAAAGCTCCCTGTCCTGAAATAAACAGTTGAAAACACATTGTAACCGACAAATGGTCATGCCGATAGTGGGACCGAAGGGATCCAATTATCGAGGCGGGGCTTTGCCAACTTGCCTGGATTGACACGTGACATCAGAGGGCCGTACGTGAAAACGGCCGAGGGGCGTGGGCTATCAGAGGGCATTTAAAGGGGTGCACCCCCATTGTCTATCGTCAGCCATGCTGAACTGCCAGCACACCCGATCAGGCAATCGCGGTGCTGGGAAGTAAAGATACACTGGGGGCGCTCCCGGACCCCCGGAAGGCATAGAGAGAAGGAAGGGGTCTGGGAAAATTGGGAGGCCGACAGTTACCCCATGGAATAACGAAGGGAATAAATGAGGCCTGAGCCCAACCTCACAGCTGGGCAAGGGCCAATCTAATACCCAACAGGGAATTTGAATCCGCACTACAGCAGGACCCCCCCCCTTTCCTAAAAGATTGGCATGTTCATGGAAATGGAATAAATTTTAATAAAGTGTGGCCCATGTTTAACCCATGCACCCGGTCTCGCATGGTTATTCCAGGATAAGTGGGCAAAGTCAACTCTGAACTAAATGTGTTAGTCTTAAAGGTGCCTATAGGTTGTTTTGTTTGTCATACTTTGTCTCTAAAAGGATTCCTTCCTAAATATCAACCTTCTTAATCAAATTACAAATGCTCATGTAACTTGAGTTCGCCTTTTATTTTCAGTCCCCATATCACCCAAGTATACATTCCGGCCAATCACACTGGCACCCTCATGCTCCAGTGAATATAAGGTAAGTGATTGGTCTGTTTTGATTTGGTATAAATTGTGGAGGAAAAACTGTTGTATTTCTTAGTTGGTATGTGTATGCATGACATGAGCAACTTATGCATAAGGCTAAGATGTGCCAGAAGTCTTGGGTACAGCCATGCTATATTTTTTTTTCTCTCTTTCTGTGATCTCATTTTGTTAATAATGAATAAGCTGTTGTGCCTTGGTTCCCTCATCCCTATTGCGGGCAGTATTTGGATTTTCGTAGTCTGCCTGAAGCATTTTGAATATTCCTAAACTATTTTAATGAAAATAAAATAAATTTAAATACTCAGAAAATCTCTTTGACTGGGGGAAAAGCTGCATTGGGTGGTGGGTGGGACAAAAACATTCCATAGCATTGGTATATGAGATATTCCTGGTGGGATATACTCTGAGGTACAGCATTAATGATAACTATTGGATGGGAATCAGTGGCCAGAATCCTGTTTATATAAGCACAGTGTGACTTTACACCTGTGTAAGTGTGCCAAGGCATTGTGCAATCTATTCCATGTTTCCTGTTTTGACTGATTGTGCCATATGCCCGTGGAAGGGTTTTGTGAATAGCACTTCCGCCATGGCATAATGAGTACTACCGCTTGCATACGATTGAGTTACACAACCATAGTTACTGGACAAGATTGAAGCCAACATGTTCTATAAATTATGGATGATATGGGAATGGTTCAGCCCACCTCTACCTACTGTCAAGCCCTCCTGTTCACATAACTTGGTTGTCTTCATTGTTGTGAGTTTCCTCATCTCTCACCTCAGATTAGATGGTAAGAGTGAGGAAGTACATAATGTGGTGATGTAATACTTTTGACTGCACTCAGTATGGCGGATGAGCACAAATAGGATTTCTATGATTTGCAGCATCTCCACATTGTCTATAATGTGCACTTCTGCTCTTTGCAGTTGAGCTCTGCTCTGTAAATCACTGAGTCTTCAGTGGATGTACTTCAGAGATTCAAATCTTATGAAAGGGGCCATGTCAGATACTGTGTTTGCAAGTGATATAGCTAAGTTGTTTGAAGTATATACTGAAGAATGTGTTTCTGTGAATGTATGAAATGACCTTCAGAATTGAAGATGTCTTAAGATGTTTCACACCCAAAATATGCAGTATATATGAGCTTTTCAACTAATATATTTAAGGTGAAATAAATAGTGTGCTACTTGGTCTAGATGGGCGGAATAGAAATCAAATCAAATCAGTCAATCAGTCAATCAATCAATCAATCAATCAATCAGTGAAAGTGCATTGGATACACAAGTGACTGTGTGTTAAAGTAGATTATTTCCATGTAAGAAAAAGATCTGGAATATAATCCTCTGAGAAGTTCCTCTGTTCAAATCCCATTGCAATGAATCGGAGTTGTGCAAGAAACAATCTCTTCTGTAGTGCCCATACAATGTACTGTAATAGGTTTTGAACAGTTGAGTGTCCTGGAGGATTATACCCTATATCAGTGTATGATTTATGTATTAGTTTCTCACTTAGGTTTCTTCTTTGTTTTCCACTCATATAGTCCTCCTGTGTTTCTTCATTTTCCATGCATGTGTGTGATAAGTTAAAATTTGTGTGTGTATCATTCATAACTGTGCTTTTATTTTTCACTTCTTATTCATCATCATTGTGCCTATGATTCAGGCCACCTTATCTTGATGACAGACTCTATTGGAAACCATTCCCAGGTGAAGAGGACAGCAATTTACGGTATATCCAGGAACAGAACCAGAAGAACTTAGCTGGGATCCAGAACCAGTTCTATCAGGATAAGCTCATGACAACCCTTTGAGAAAACACAATTTTTTACTTCATGCACCATTTCAAAGCTTCATTTCATTCCATAAAATGTGTCTGTGTATGTTGCAAATAAATGGTTAAAAATGGCATCATAATCAGTAGAGAACAACACTCTTGCAAGTTATAATGCCTGTACTTTGGAAGGAACTAGGAATTCCAATGCTTTCTGCTACCCAGAGTTCTGGAACGTTGCAGCAAGCTCAGAACTTCTTACGTTTTAATCTAATGTAGCAATCTTAATTTTTATTTCTTGCCATTTGCACATGATGCTTAATTAATCTGGTTTCCTCTATGAATCAAATCAGGCAATGATTATGTTCTTGTTTTTATTTTATTTTTTGCTTTAAGTGCTACTTAAATCAGGGGGTCAGGATAATTATAGCTGGAAAGAATATTTTAATGATAAAGGGATCCAGGTAACTAATCTAAACAAGAACATATTTTATCTGTGAATGGCAGTACATGTTTTTGTGCCATCTTAACCGATACAAGGAAACTAGAGGGTTTTATACTTTTGTGAAGTGCATCTGCCTCTTCAGAGCTTATTGATTATTTTGCGTTTCAGATGGTAACTTGCTGCTATTATGTATCAGAGCATATCCATGTAATGTTGGGAATGATGCCTTAAATATAGATGGTGCTGTTTTTGTTAATCTCATTCTTTATAAGAGAGGTGCAGCAGAAAGGAAAAAAAACACTTGGTAAAGTTTCTCACCCTAAGCCTTGAGATCTTCCTAACAAACATTATTTTTTTCAGTTAATGACCTTGAGGCCATGGTGTTTCCAGACATAGCTTTATTTCTTGCCATACTGTCTAATCAACTTACCTAAAAGTTGGAATTTTGCCGGGAATACAGATGTCTTCCATTTTCATTCATAACCATTTGTGTTTTTCCACAATGTCTTTTGATTGGTCGGGGTGAGAGCCCTCTAGCTGGAAGCACCCTGTGACTCAGGCTGACATCTGACCAGGGCCTCTGAAGCCAGTCATTATCTTTTACAGCAAGGAAGGGTGGGAGTGAAAGAGAGAGCAGTGCCTAAGTCCCGAGTCCTCATCTCACTATGGTTAGAAATCCAGATGCCCGAATGGCCCAAAAGAGGCGTAAAGGTTGACTAATAAAACATTTGTAAGTGAGATGTGCATGAATAAATCTAGCTTCTGTGAAGTCGAATATATATATTCTGTATACTCACTCAGGATCCCTTGTGATAATTTTGGCTCTCTTGAATACAGAAATAACAGTGCCAGCTTTTGTTCAGATGTTTATTTGGCCTTAAATCTGTGATATTTTGAGACAATACTTGGAATGTCTATATATTTTGGGAATATTTTGAAGTGTTAGTGTTTTTTTAACGTATGATTTTACTGGATCTAAATTTATAAATAGGGCTAAGTATATCACTTTCAGAGAAAATATATGATAGTTTAATTTTCTATTTAAAGTATGTTTAAATATGGTATTACTGTATTTGTTTTGATTTTTGTACATGTTACGTACAAACAATAAATATAAATATTTTCCTTCATGTCTGGCGTTTTCTGTATTCTTCATCCTTTTTTTTCTGTCTTCAATGTTGGAAAACGGCTCATGAGGCACAAAGTATTTGTTATACTGTTATTTTTTTAAAAAAATAGCTGCCATGACTACAAAACACACCTGGTAATTTGTAACTATGGTGCCAACTCTGCCCAGTAGTGAGCAAGTACAGCCCCAGACATCTAAAAATTCTAAAACTTGGAATATAAGATTATCCAAAAAAACAACTGTCCTTTGTCTTCATGAAGATTGCATGCAAAAAGTTATTATTTGAGTACATTTTTGAATGTACATGTGTAGCAATTCAGTTTTCCCAGTATATGCAAGAGTCAAGCTGTCGTAGCAAAAAGTCTGGTATAGGGTTAACCAGCAGTTTTTTAAAAAAAACTTTTTTCTCATCTTTCTCTTGAAGTCCAGTGTGTTTGTAAATTTTTTTCCCTGAGCTGGTCCATATCAGGTTGCGCCTAGAAGGCTCATGGGACTGAATGATCCTTTTAAAAAAATTCCTGCACAGAGAAAAGTGGTGTCTGAGACAAAAGCCTAAATCTCTGTCTGTGCGAGCAGCTTTCTGTGTGTAAGGACAATTTCACACAAAGAATTGTGTAAAGTGTTGTTTATCAACTTGATGCCCAGCAGGGCTTCCAGAGTGATTCTCAATAGATTAAAATGTTTAAAAACAGATCAGAAACAGTCTTTAAAAACAGATCCAGACATTGTTTAAAAGCTACTTGTTTGATTGATTTAAGAAAAATAACCCAAGCAGTTCTAGGTTCTTTGGAATAATACCATTTTAGCTACTCATTGAAAGCTTAGCTAAAATGGATTCCTCCTGACCTTGGGGAGGAAGGTGTTTTACCGTTGAGGTGCTTCTACAGAGAAATCCCTGTCTTGTTTACCCACCAAGCTAACCTCGGAAGTGGGGGTAGGAGACTATGAATGGTATATCTGAATTCTGGACAGGTACATCAAGAATTAAACAGTTTTTCAGATATCTTGGCCCCTATCTGTTTAGAGCTTTGTTGCTCAAAACCAGCATAATGAATTGAGATATAATTACTCGTAAAGGGGGATTATCCAGAGAGCTGCATTTTGAAAGGTTGTAGCCCAGAAGCCAGTTTTTCTTCCTCTGAAAAGATTTAGTCTTGGCTCTGCCCACATCAGGTTGTTGTTCTCTGTTCCCACTTGTGTGAAAATCTTTCTTGTAAGAACTTTGTGAAGGTGTGTGAAAAATAAATCAACAAAAAAGACTGTGGAATTGTTCAGATTTGTTTCTTATTTTGTTCTTTTTGTTTTCAGTGGCTGTCCAGTTTTCCTAGTCCTCCCTTTTTGTCTCGCAAGGACAGCCTAGGTTCTCACCAGTTTTTGTAGGGGTTCAGGGAGGATCCTGCGCAATTGAGGTCAAGAGATTGATCAGATGGGGAGTTGTGTTCTCCCTCCTGTGTGCTGTGGCCCTTTGCAGACTCTTTAAAAACAAACAAACAGTTTGCACGAGGAAGGTAGAAACTACGCTGTAATGGGAAGAAAACCTGCTGTGACTTGGTCTTTCCCTTCTTGGCCAGTTTGCCTCCAAACAAGGGAACATCAAATTTCCTATTGCCCCCATTAGAGTTTCTGGATATAAAGTGACAATCA